GATAGTTAAAGTAAGATCTACTGAAGACCCACACAAAGGAATGGCTTATTTTCTACCTAAGTTGTCCATTTGTGAAGCAGGGGAAGAAAGGTAAAATCTGGGAAAGTAGAATCATATTGGTCATGTAAATTACAAAATAAAAACTATCATCAAAGGACAACATAAGAGGGGCACCTGGGTGGCTCAGTTGGTAAACGTCGGCCTTTCAGCTCAGCTCGTAATCTCAGGGTCCTGGGATCTGGCCCCACATTGGGCTCTTTGCTCAGTGGGGAGCCTGCCTCTCCCTCTCCCTCTGCCGCTTCCCTTGCTTGTGCTCTCTCTCTTTTTGACAAACAAATAAGTAAAATCTTAAAATAAATAAATAAATAAAAGAGGACAACGTAAGCGATCCATACTTGTGACAGTACTGTTCTGTCTCTATCTTGCCTTTGGTGATAAACACACTCCAACATTATATAGAACTAAACACACAAACACACACTGGTGGGTCCAAGTGAAACTGGGGAAATTTGAATAAGATTGTGAATTGTTGTTACCATTGTGGCAGACTGGATAAAGTTTACGCAGATCTTTCTGTGTTATTTTGTACAGCTGTATGAATCTACAATCATTTTAATATAAATTTCATTTAAAACTGATAGCAAAATTAAGATATTTTCAAATGAAAATCTATTAATCTGTTTTTGGATGTAGAGAGAGAAATTTAAGGTAACTTGTCCAAAATTTCCCACTGGAATTTTGATTTTATGTTGCATTTATATAATTTTGGGAAAAAAGGAAAAAATAAAACTATCCAGATTCAAAACTAAGATAACAGTTATTTAAATGTATTTTGTGCATTATTAGTGCCACTAGACATTTTACATACTGATTAATTGACATGGGTGAAAATAAATATTGAGTACTTAAAGAGCAAGTTGTTGCTTTGGGGTCTTACATCTATTTCTCTATTTCATGCTAACGAAGAGGCTGATTTTATTAGAATTATCATGCATTTTGTAGATGGAGAAGCATATAAGTACTTTTTCAAGGTCACAGCATGTTGGGATGAACCTATGCCTGTCTGACTTTCAAGCCTATGCACTTTTCCACTACTTAGGGTTTGAAATACAGACATAAGCACACTTAAGAAATCATCTCTGTCATCTGTTTGTCTGGTTGATTTCTATAGTGTATGTATCCAATATTTAGAAATGTGGAATATACTTTGGTGGTAATTGGTGTGGATTATTTCAGCTTAGGAAAACATGTTTTAAGATTTGTGACAAGATAGTTTTTGATAGAGGCACCCGGGTGGCTCAGTGGTTGAGCGTCTGCCTTTGGCTCAGGTCATGATCCCGGAGTCCTGGGATCGAGTTCCGCATCGGGCTCTCTTCAGGGAGCCTGCTTCTCCCTCTGTCTATGTCTCTGCCTGTCTCATGAATAATAAATTAAATCTTCGGAGAAAAAGATAGCTTTTGATAAAATATTTCACAAAAATTGCATCAGATACTATTAGAAGGATTCAGGGGAATTCCCTCAATCTTTAAATAAAATAAAAATAAAACAAAACATTGGTAAGAAGTTTACAATGCTTAACTTTTATTGGGTGTTAACTCTATATCAGGTATCATGTTAAGTAACTTAGATGTTGTTTAAACTTTCACAACAAAATTGGGATGAAAATTGGGCTGTTTGACTCCAAAGCTGCACTTCTTAATAGGCTACAGTGCCTTAAAAATCAACCAAATGAGAATAATGGGGGTTGAATAAAAAAGAAACTTTAACTGAAAGGTTAGTATAGTTCATGATCAGTGACCAGGGCCACCATTTATTGTAATTAAATTAGATGAATTAACTGTATTATGCATTCTGGGGGTCTAAGAGGAGTCAATATGAAAAGCTCAACAGTATCTTAAGGTCAGTCACCTTCTAGTCCTTTGTCTCACTTTATTTTCTTCATAGTTCTTTTACTTATTTACATCTAAAATTATTTAAGGCAACTGGGTGGCTTAATTGGTTAAGCATCTGACTCTTGGTTTTGGCTCAGGTCATGATCTCAGGGTTGTGAGATCCAGCTCCACACCCCTACATCAGGCTCTGGGCTCAGGGTGGAGTCTGCTTGAGATTCTTTTCCTCTCCCGCATCCCCCTCCCCCCCCCCCAAAACCGCTGGGTTCTCTCTCTCTCAAATAAATAGATAAAATCTTAAAAAAAAAGATTTCTTTACTGTCACATGCCTTACCTCACTCAAACATAAGTTTGGTAAAACCAAGAAACTTGTCTTTCTTATTCAATGTTGTATTTCCAGTGTCTCAAGTTGTTCTCAATATATATTTGGGAATATCCCAGATCTACATTTGTTGAATGAATATATAAATGATTGACCTTCCCTTGACTTTAATGGTAGAGTCTTAGATTTGCAAACTATGGTTTAAAAGATTATATTGCATTATTAGCAATTTACTAGTGTCTCATTTCTTTTATTTTTTTTAAGATTGTATTTATTTATTCATGAGAGACTCTCACAGAGAGAGAGGCAGAGACACAGGGAGAGGGAGAAGCAGGTTCCCTGCAAGGAGCCCGACATGGGACTCAATCCCGGATCCTGGTATCATGCCCTGAGCTGAAGGCAGACGCTCAACCGCTGAGCTACCTACTTAGGCCTCCCTAGTGTTTCATTTCTTAGGTCGGCTAAGATACACTGGAAGAAGGAGAGGAGAAAGCTGGAGGAAGCAGCTGGGGGAGGAGGCTGGAGAAAAGGGGAAAGAATATAAACTGGTAATGATAAGCTCTTCAACCGAGGGGTAAGGCTTGAAGCATCAGAAATTAGGAGCCTTAGACCAGTGACTGAAATTGGTGGGGCTTCCTGGGGTGGGATAGAAACCATCACGAAAGCTAACTTTGATCTCAGAAGTTCTACAACCACAAAGATTCAAAGAAAGGAGGTGAAAGTAATTTAGGTCATTTCTAGTGTGCTAATTATCTCAGACTGTGCATAGCTTTGATTGGAACAAAAAGAATCTTGAGGCTTCCATTGAAATCAGTGTTAAGTGCATGTACATATTGGGCACTGGTCTACCTACTTTTTGTACTATGTGGTTTCTTCATGAGGGGTCATTCTAATATGATAATTACTTGTTAACCTTACGTCATTGTCGAATAGGATCTTCTAAAGAAGGCTGAAAAAGAAAACAAAAGAATCACATATGTAGAATCAAAACGAATGGGCAAAATGAGGCATCTAAAGCTTAGAGTGGGAAAGGCAACTAACTTTAACGAGGTTGGGGATGCCGAGAAGAAAATCTATGACCTTGAAAATGGAATATAGTTGTTAAGTGTGAGCATTACAAAAGATGACTCCAGGCAGTCTGCAATTTAAAGGAGTGAGCATTTAGAGAAGAGGTTCTCTAACTTCTTGGTCTCAGGATCCCTGTAGACTCTAAAACTTGGGGATGCCAGAGAACTCTCCTGCGCACTAGATACTGCTATTTATCACATCAGAAATCAAGCCGTTTTAAAGGGATTCATTATTTCATCTAAAAAGGATCAATCAATTAAATATTAACATAAAAGTATGTCTTATATGAAAAGTTCCTACTTTCCCAAACAACAACAACAACAATTTAGAGTTGCATCGTCTTACTTTTTTTTGCAAATCTACTTAACGTCTGGTTTCACCGCCGAGGACTAGATTTTATTATCTGCTTCCTTTTTCAGTGTTTCCATCTCACAAGTCGTGTAGTCTCTGCAAAACTGCACCTACACTTGCGAAGAGGATGAGAACGCAAAAGGCCAAAACCACGTTTTAGCATCATGCAAAGGCTATTTCCACCTCCCCGTTTAAAGGGTGCGGGGACCCCCCTCCCCCCTTGGAGAACTAGGGTAGGAAGAGTGACAGCAGGCAGCCCAGTGTCTCATGAGAAAGAGCCATGATGGTTTTCCAAGGCCTGAGGATTTACAGAAAAGCTATTTCTCCCGCAGGATGCCCCAACGGCGTCCTCGGGACACAGCGCCCCGGGCCGGGCCAGCCGGGCCCTTTCCAGCCGCCGGGGGAACCGGAGCAGCGGGAGGGCGCGCAGGTCGCGGGAAGGGGCAGGGCGCGGGCGGGGCGCGGGGGGGGGGGCGGCGGTAGCCGGGAACCGCGGGCTCCGGGGGCACCAGGGCGGGGAGCAACCGCGGGGCGCGGGGAGGGCGGGGCGTGCGGGCGGCTGTGCGCGCCCCAGGCCGCGCCGGTGCAGGGGGGCGGCCCCGGGAGCCCCAGGGCTCGGGGGCGCGGCCCGGCGCGGCACCGCGGAGCCGGGAGGCGCGCGGCGCGCGGGGGGAGGGCGCCGCGGCCGCGGGACAGCGCCGTTGCTCGGCAACCCGTCCTGGGCCCGCCCCCCGCCTGCGTTGCTAGGAGACGGCGAGGCCCGGGGGCGGCGGAGCGGGCCCTACGTGCTGACGCTAATTGTATATGAGCGCGAGCGGCGGGCTCGCGGGTCCTTTTTAGCGCCATCTGCTCGCGGCGCCGCCTCCCGCCTCCCGCCTCCCGCCTCCCGCCTCCCGCCGCCGCCGCCGCCGCCGCCGCCGCCCTGAGTCACTGCGCAGCCCCGGCCTCGGGTAACGGACGGGTCCCCAGCGGGAAGGGCGCCGGCGGAGCCGCGGCGGGGAGGGCCGGGCCGGGGGCGGGCGCCGCGGGGCTCGGGGCCTCCGGGCGCTCCCGGGAGCCGAGGCCGCGGGGCGGCGGGGGCGGGGGGACTTCCGCGCCGCCCCGCGGTGCCCGAGTCCCGGCTCCTCCGCGCCGCCCGCCGCGGCAGCAGGCGGCCTCGGGGCGCTCGGGGCGCGGAGGAGCCGGGGCTCGGGAGCGCCGCCGCCCCCCCCCCCGCGCGCGGAGCAGCCCCGGGGGGGGCCGGCGGGGGAGCGAGGGCCGGCGGGGGAGGGGCGGGGCGGCCGCGGGGCCCCGGCTCTCCGCCCCTTGGAGGCGGCGGCCGCGCGGGGAGGGCCGGCCCTGCGGACACGTGGCCGCCGCGCCCGGGGGAGCGTCCGGGGAGCCCGGGAGGAGCCCCCAGAGGAGCACCCCGGGAGGAGGTCGGGGAGGAAGCCGGGGAGGAGGAGCCCGAGAGGAGCACCCCGGGGGGAGCACCCAGGAGGAGGAGCCCCCGGAGGAGCACCCCGGGAGTAGGTTCCGGAGGAGCCCCAGGAGGAAGCCGGGGCGGAGGAGCGCCCCGGGAGGAGCCCCCGGGAGGAGCCCGAGCTCCCGGCGCTGCGGAGTCGCGGGCTGGGGGCGCGGAGCTGTGGCGACCTCGGGGCTCCCCGGGGCGCGCCCTTGCCGTACCCGGCCTGCCCCGGGGCCGCACGCGGGGAGCGGGGGAGGGGCAGGGCCTCCCGCGGTGGGAATCGCGCGGCCGTGGTAGGGCCGGCGCCTCGGAGGAGCCCGCCGGGACTTCACGCGGGGGGTGGGGGTGAGGGTGACCCTGACCCTCCGCACGGCCCGGCCGGACCGCCTGGTCCCTAACGGGAGTGTCCGAGCGGGTCCCTCCCCGCGATGTGTTTTTAAGGCGATTGGGGGCGGGGAGCGGGAAGTGCGGGAGGAACCGTGGGGCCGCGGCGGGGGTCGGCTGCCGGGCGGGGCGGGGCGAGCCGGGTGCGGCGGGCGAGGGGGGCCGCGCGGAGAGCCTGCCCCGGGCGCCCGTCTGCGGAGGAGCTGCAGGCCCGGCTCCCTTTTCGGGGGCAGCCGCGCCAGGACGCCCCCTGGTTAGCCCCGGGGCCTCTTTCCGGGTCGGCTCCCGTGACTCGCCGGTTCGCGCTTAGGGGCTCTTGCGCCTTGGGTAAGGGGGAGATCTGCGGAGGACAGGGACTGGCTTTAAACTGTCGGAAGGGAAGTAAGGTTTACAGTGATTTCTCTCTCTCTTCTCTCTCTCTCTTTTTTTTTGACTGCCTCATGTTTGTTTGAAGTTACTCAAATTAAATGGAAATTTTAAAGAAAATTAAGAGATCAGAAAAAAATTAAGAGATCAAATGAACGGTCCACATCTAAAATGTGCCCTTCACGTGTAAGAAGACTAGTCCCTTGGGGGAGGGACGGAACTAAACATGGGTTATGAAACCTTGACATAGTACATGATCATATCAGGTCAGCATTATGCTGATTTGGTAAATACAGCTTCCGAGTTTGAAAAATATGTAAATCTTATCTGTTGCAAAGTACCTCGTTTTGATATTGGGCCCATTGACAGAATATGAAACTAATGTTCAGTGTGGCACAGGACTGTCCTCTAGAGATTTGAAACACGACCAAAACCCAACACTTGTACCAGAATTAAATTAACACAAAATGCTGTTGCTCATTTCACTACTTACTCAACTTGCCCATATGGTCTCCAGGTGACTGAGTTCTAAAACCCCAAAATTATGGGGGCTAAAAGAGGCAAAATCTGTTTGGCTTAAAGATATCAAAATCAAATACTACCTATCTGCTCATTTTTTGGTTGTAAATTTGAAATGTTAGTGACAATTAGATTAGAGAGGATGAATCCTGATCAGTTTTGAAAACTGATGGTCTGTTCGGTTCCTCAAGTCTAATCAGACCTGTAGTTGTGTTGTTATTTGATTCTTTTGAGTAAATATTTTAGCATCTATTTTTGGACATATATCTTAAAACAGGAGCAAAACAAACGTTGGTCATCAAGATGTAAAATGTTGTGATGAATGCTTTAAAGAAAAGTGGGGGGCAGAGTAGTAATTATAGCCTTCTCTACATGAAGGACCTGTTTAATGGTGATATTAAGTGCCATTTCATATTAATTTTATCTGAATAATAAGTTCTTGGGCAGAGTAGGGTTTATTAGAGTATGGTTCAGAAGGTAAGGTTCCTGCTTCCATTCCTCCTTGTAAGTGGTTAGTACGTTGATAGGAGACCACCAGGTGACATTACTGCACTTGACATGGAAAGTGGCCTCAGCTTCCGGTGACCAACTCTGCCTTTTACTGCTACATGGTTTGATAGCTTTTTTATTCAAGAATTTTGTACCTTTTGATTTTTATTGGGAAAGGGGACTAATTTCAAAGAGCCTATAATTACATTTAATTACCTATAATATCTAATTAACTACTTTTAATTATTTTCTAAGGTAAAGAGGGTACGGAACACAACAGGGGTAAATAATGTAACAGCACACATTATTCTGTGTATTATTAACTAATTTAATGCTCCTAGAAGTAGGTAATAACATTTTAATGTGGGAACTTAAGTACAGAGCAGTTAAAGGACTTCTCCAAGGTTACATGACAGAGCAATGATGACTTTTTTTCCCAGCTAAAATTGTCATAATTAGTAATTCTAATTTTTAAAATGAAATTTACATTTAGAATAGTTTCAAGTTCACAACAGTTGAGCAGAAAGTTAACCATAACCCCCCTGACCCCACACATGCACAGCCTCTTCCATCAGCAGAATGATGACTTCTGAGGAGGCTTTTGTATTGGTTTTTAAAGGGAGTTCCTTTGAGTCAAACTGTTACGCTATACAACAAATTGGACTTAAGAAAAGTACACTTGCTTGGGTTCCACTGGGGTCCAAGGAAAAGCACCAGTATTTATAGGTCAGGGCGTCCTCTTCCAACTTGGAATTTGTTTACATATAGTTAGTTGATGGCTCCTAAGTCTTTTGTCTGCCGTGTGTGTAAGTGTAATTTCCCTCCCTCCCCCATGTGAATAAATTGGATTTGTTTGTTATCGTTGGGTAAATTTTCCCTGGATTTTCAGTCCACCCCAGGTGTGTTTCTCTGTTTCGGGTCAGATGAGAATCTAGATATTGAGCTCCCTTGGCCAAGAAGGTATGTAGTATTCTCAAATAGGGGTCCATTTTGCTTAGGACACTTGAGATGGAAGTCCGTTCCAACCAAGTTGGCTGTTGACACCCCAAAATTGAAAAAGTGAGCCTAGAGAATAGGCTATTCTAACTATGAGGTTGTGTTGGAGCCAAATACGGTATTGAGCCCCCAGACCACTGAAAACGTTTTTCCTAGAATGGCAGTGCCTTAAATACAGATTTGCTTGAAGTGCATTTGGAAGGAGAGGTCAGATCTCAGGTAAAGGGAAATCTTATCTTTGGGTTAGTATTGGCCCCCTTGAACGCTAGCTTTAAAAACATAGGTAATTTTTCGTGACTAGTGGTTAACCCACGAGGTCGTCCTTTCCTCTAAAGGAATATCCACTAGTGTACAGTCTGTGTAACAGTAGGCTGATAGGCACTTTGGTTTTTGGAATAGTGGACTCGGCATAGGTTTTGGAAGTTAGATTTTAATTACTAGTTTCTCTCCTTTTGTGTGTTGCTGAGCAAGTTGCTTAGTATTTTATCTCCAGATAGGAGGAAAGCCTATAGTACGGTAGCCCCTTAGGAGTAGCTTCGTAGATGTTCGCTTTCTCCTCCTTGAAAGTCAGGAGAGCTTAGAGCCAGGTTTTCTGGACTGATGAGAAATGATTTGATAACACGTGTCTGGACGTCTAACTGCTACAAGACCACAAAGTAATCAGTTTGTGGTTTAATTCAGTGACTTATTTTTCCCCCTCTTTTTTCAGTGGAAGATTTTCTTTGTGTACAGTTCTCAGGTTAAGGTTTGCCTTTAGTCACATTTTTATGAACCATGTCTTTGAATTGAGATCTTCTGCATATTACATACATTGGGTAATGAATTCTATCTTTTATTATAAAAGGACTTTATTTCTAGGAATGCTTTTCCTTAAACTTTATTTTTTGATGTTAATACAGAGATACCAGCTTTCTTTTGGCCTGGGTTGTATTTTACTTGAAAACTATATCCTTATGTTAGAGATATGTTTCTTATAAATGGGATGTAGTCGGTTTTTCTTAAATCCTGCCTGACACTTTTTAATGGCCTTCAGTTGATTTACATTGAACATTATTACTAATTACCTGAGAGTTTCGACTGTGAAAGCACAAAACACCTAAAGATGTTTAAACCTAAACCTCTCTCAGGTTGGTATAAAAAATTTTTATAACTTTAAATTGTTTTTCTTCTACCTTGAAATTTACATGTTTGGTTTAGGGAGTCATCTTGGAAATTACAACCTGTTGGGGCTCCTAGGTGGCTCAGATGGTTAAGTGTCTGCCTTCAGCTCAGTCAAGATCTCCAGTCCCGAGATCCAGCCCCACATCAGGCTCCCGGCTCACTGGGGAGTCTGCTTCTCTCTCTCCCTCTCCCTCTCCCCCCCCCCCCGCCCCCCCGACTTGTGCACTCTTCTCAAATGAATAAATAAAAATCTTAGAAAAGAAAACATGCCTACTTAAGAACACTAGACTACTTAATCAGTTTCCTGCTCCCCCCACCTTCACTACTGACTTAATGTTGTGGTAGTTTTAATTTTTTATTTTAAGTTTTTTTTTTTTTTTTTTTTAATTCATGAGAGACAGGCTGAGACACGGGCAGAGGGAGAGAGGGAGAAGCAGGCTCCATACAGGGAGCCTGAAGCAGATTTTTTAACATATTACAGAGTGGTGATAGTTAAAAATGTTTACTTAGATATATGCGGTTATCCTTTTTGCCTCTTATTTCTTCTTGGAAATTAGATCTTCCATTTGTGATTACTTGCCTCCTGCCTGAAGAATATACTTAATAGAATTAGGGTGCTGGAGGTATTTTTTCCAGAAAAATATTTTTCCCATTCACTCTTAGAGGATGTTTTTTTAGTTGGGTGTAATATTCTAGGATCGTTGGCTGTTTTCAGCACATTGACAACAACTCTGTTGTCTTTTGGGGTCTATTGAAGAGAAGAGGATTGTGTCTTTTGTGGCTTTAGTCTGAATCGTTGCGTTTTTGAGGGGACTTGTCTTTAGTGTCTTTCCTTTTCACTGATATATCTAAGTGTGAGTTTCTTTTTTATTTATCCTGATGGGGATTTGTAGGGCCATCTTCCATCAGTTCTGGAAAATTCTTAGCTTTTGATTCTTTCAAATATTTTTTGTATTCCCTCCTCTAACTTCTAGAACTTGTATTAAATCTTTGTTAAGACTTTATTGTATCCCCAAATATCTTTTAACATCAGTGTTTTCCATCCTTTAGCCTCTACCATATTTTGGAAGATTTCTTTTTTTTAAAGATTTTATTTACTCATGAGAGACAGAGGGAGACGAAGACTCCCCGCAGAGCGCCGGACGT